CATAGATTAAATGTACACATAGACAATTATGTATTACAGTCATATTTGTAGGTTATATGTTCTTGTTTTATGGAGGTTATTGTTTTTTAAGAAACCTCGTGGTATATTATGAATTTGAATTTGTATTTACCTAGATAAACCTTCGGTTTTACAAGATGGTAAGTTAATTTTATTCTGTAAAAAAGAATTAATCTTTGTTCTGTATTTTGTAGTCGAATAACTTATACGTGCTTTTTGAACATGCGGCTGGGTACGCTATCTTTCAAGTTAAAGAATTTGAAGAAATTGGCATGTTTCTTCCCCAAGTTGAGGCCTCCGTTACAGACCTAAGTAGATTCAATAGCGTTGTAAAATTGATTGGCTTTTCACCTTTTAAAACAGCTGTTGCTGCACTGGAAAATATCAATGCTATATCAGAAGGCATCTTGACAGAAGACTTGCAGCATTTTTTAGATATAACGATACCTAAAGGTGGGAAGAAGAGCAAACCTACTGTCGGAGTTAGTGATCCCAAATTAGGAGCTGCAATTGCAGAATCGTTAGGATTAACCTGCATGCACATCGGAGTTGTGCCAGAAATAATCAGGGGTAATGTATATACATCCCAAAAGCTATCTTTTATCTTATTTTTATATGTTTTTTAGGAATCAGACATCATTTCCACAAGTTAGTCAAAGGATTTAGTGCAAAAAATTCAGCTGTTGCACAGCTTGGTTTAGGACATTCATATTCCAGAGCCAAGGTTAAATTTAATGTTCATCGTGTTGACAATATGATTATTCAGTCAATAGCATTATTGGATCAATTAGATAAAGACATAAACACTTTCTCAATGAGGATAAGGTAAATGCTACCTTTTTAATGTTGAATCACTTCACAACATATATCTGTTCTAGGGAATGGTATTCTTATCATTTTCCAGAGCTTGTAAAGGTTGTCCCTGAAAACTACACTTATGCAAAACTTGTGTCATTTATTAAAAATAGAAAAGAGCTTTCAGAAGAATCACTTGAAAGTTTAGAAGAAATTGTAATGGATTCAGCTAAAGCACAGGCAATCTTAGATGCTTCAAGATCCAGCATGGGCATGGATATAAGCATACTTGATCTGATGAATATTGAAATGTTTGCCAAACGTGTTATTAATCTTGCTGATTATCGCAAAGAGTTGGCAGAATATTTGAAAACTAAAATGAGTGATGTTGCTCCAAATCTAGCCACTTTAATTGGAGAACAGGTTGGAGCTAGATTAATTGCCCATGCTGGTTCTCTGACTAATTTGGCAAAGTATCCTGCATCTACTGTCCAGATATTGGGAGCAGAAAAGGCTCTTTTTAGAGCACTAAAAACAAGAGGTAATTATAATTTACAAAATCAAATTTTTGTATTAGCATTTTTATATTTTAGGAAATACTCCAAAGTATGGTCTTCTTTTTAATTCTACATTTATTGGAAGAGCTGGATTGAAAAACAAAGGTAGAATTTCACGTTATCTCGCTAATAAGTGTTCAATTGCATCTCGTATTGATTGTTTTACCGATATCCAAACGAACGTTTTTGGGGAGAAATTACGCCAACAAGTCGAAGATCGCCTAAAGTTTTACGAAACAGGGGAAATACCGAAAAAAAATATCGAAGTCATGAAGGAAGCATTAGAAGAAATGGAAAGAGTCCAAGATGCTGCTTCAAAGGCTGAAAAAAAGAAAAAGAAGAAAAAAAAGCGAAAGGTTGAAAATGGAGAAACTTTTGATCAAAATGGAACAATTGATGAAAATGAAGTAACAGGTGAACCTCCTAAAAAGAAGAAAAAGAAGAAGAAACAATTAGAAGAAGAAGCAGATTAGTATTTGTAAGTATATTATATGTCATTGCAATTTTTGCGAGCTATTTTTTCTATCATTAGTTTTTAATGTTTAATTTAATTGTACCTTAAAATTAATTTTCAAAAAAATATATAAAATTTTAGCGTTGTTTAGGATTTTAAATACATTTTTAATAATTAGTGCTTGTTGAGGACAAAAAGAATATAGAAGTAGTTTCCTAATTGTTTTTTTTTGTAACTATTAAATTCACTATTTCCTTAATAAAACATTTTTAAAGGAATATTTCTTTATTTGTTACTTTTTTATAACTTACTTTAAAACATAAGCACGGTTTGACAAGTTTATCTTTAAGATTACAAGATTTACAACTGGAATGTATGAAATTATTTCAACTATTAAATGAAGCATTTTTTTAGTTTATGTACTTGATATTTTTTGCTGGTAAAGTATAAGGCACATTACACAGTTCTCGTCATCCATTTCCTTTCGGAAACAAAAAACCAATTTCATATTTTCTATCGAAAATATGACGGGAACGTATCTCATTTATATTTCGTAGGGTAATAACTAAATTAAAACTTCGGAAATTGTACGTAAGACATAGATAAAAAAGTAAGTGCTTAGAAACGATAAAAGAATTGTAAACATTTTTAAGCAACACAATCACAATAAACTATTTGCACTAATTTTAAATATTTTCATAATATATTAACATAGCAATATAGAATCCCAGCACCGCATGTGAGCATTTTGCAGTAATTTACAACAAGTGCCAACTTAAAAGTACAACCTTTGGATCATATTTGAGAAAACCGATTTAAAATATTTCAATACATCACTATCATATCCTTACTAAGTATTATAATAAACTCATTTAGTAATCTTTACATTTTTGTCACCACTCGCTGCCTTTACAAATTATTATTTGCTACTTTATACAGTACATTTTATTTTTTAAATTCTTAATAATATATTTATCATAATACGTCTCAAAATAAGTATGGATCAAAGTTTTACGTTTTCGAAACTTATGAAATAAAACTAACACATAATTATTGCATAGAGTACGAAATGTTATGTCATTGTGACCTGAGCCAGAATTTACGCTATTATAAAGTATGTGTGCTTAACATTTTTTTTATAAATTAAAAAATTGATTACCTTTTAATTTAGAAAAAATCATAATTTAATTACTTTCAATCAATTTTTTAAGTAACTATCAGTCCGACTTGTTTCAACATGATATAGTAATTGTAAAACTATTTAAAAGCAGCAAAGAACTGATTATTACTTCCATTCAGTGGAGTACTTTGAAATACTTGATTATTTAAATTTAAAGGTGGGACAACGCCCGGACTAGTAATACTATTTTGGTTTGCGTTTACAGTCCTAGGATGGTTGGAAGGACTGGTGGGTGTGCTTTTCAATTGATTCATGCTAGGCGCACTAGTTTTTATGGTTTTATTGCCTAGGAGATTGTCCAAATCGATGTTAAGATTACCCGAGTTTGACCATGTCGGGCCAACATTAGACGGTTTAACATTAGTTACAAAATTATCTTGTTCAGTTTTACGAGTGTTGGAAGACAAAGGCTGCAACGGTTGTGCAACTGGTGATGTGGAATGAAAAACTGGACCTACATTTATTAAAAGAAAAAGTTGTTATAAGAGTTTCAATAATTATTAGACAAAAAGGTGCGTCTATATACATTTAATATTCTATAAAGTAAAATTATTACAATTCTTCATTTGCTAGTATTAAAGTTTTGAGAAATATCATTATTAAAATTGCATATTTTTTAAGTTGCACTTTTAGCGCGTCAAGAGTAAAATTTTAACAATATAAAGTTAACAACCAGTCTAAAATTTATCGAACATGTAACTCGTTCAAGCGAGTGAATGGTGTCAGCACTGGCCGATGTTCGCCGTTTAATGTGAATTCAGAATGACGCGATTCTCTTTATTAAAAACGTATAAAATAAGACACAAAAGTAACTTATTATTAGTTCGATTTTACTTATTACTTAAAAATTAAAGGATTTACAAATTTTAATTATACACATCAGTAATATCAACTTTTAAGACATTTTCTATTAAAGCAATCGCATGTGCAGCTAATAATCTGCATTCTGAATTAGCTTCTCCTCTTTGAATATTGGGGCTTAATACGTCCGCCAGCCATAGCCTGAATTCAAGTAGGTCGCTTAAAAATTCGGCTTGTAAAATTGTTTTAGGAACACTTATAACTACACTAGCAACTAAGTTTAAGTTGGCCATCCGAACTCGGACTTCATTATGATACCGTAGAGCCCAGGCTAAATTGAATAATTCTTTTGCCATTCGTGGAATTATGGGACAGTTTTGAGCTGCCCACATTATTGCAGCCAAGGTGTCCAAAAAGTGAACCAGTAAAATATGATCGTTATCGTATTTCGGCGTAAAATTTACAAAAGGCGAGTTGCCATAAGCATGTAATAAAGGGAAGAAAAAAGATCCAGCACATTCAGAAAATTTGTTAATCTGTTCAAAAGTATAGTATTTGTGATGTATAAAGCGTCTGGTTTTACTTTCTAATCGTTGGCGAATTATTTCTTCTGCCATCTCAGCCTCAGTTTTTTTCTGTTTTATAGATTTCAATTTGGGATTCTCTGCTTTTTTTTCAGGGTTTAATTTTGATAAAGTTTGTGCCGTGGTTTTTAGAATATCTAGTAAAAGAATTCGATGACTGATAGAATAAGTACCGGCATTTGCGTGAAATTCTTTACACAAATATTCGGCATAAAAACTAGGATAAACACAAGTTATAGCGACACAACTTTGGAATACTAATGCGTCAAAATTTTCCACATAAAATTTCTGTTCCAATGAAATTAGAATTTGTAAAAGCTCAAGACCGATGGACGCATCATCGTTTGATAGTTGCGATATTACAAGTTTTTCGCAGCTTTCTAAACTACCCACGAATATTTCAGAATCATCTGTTTCTAGAAGTCCATCGCGCAAATCTCTCAAATAGGCAGGCGGAGGTTTAGTTGTTTTTACGTCATTTGATAAGTCATAAGGCTCCAAATCATCATCGGAATCAAGTTCAAAATCTTCGCTGTCAATTACATTTATTATCGTATTTTTTGTTGTTATACCTTCAGTAACAACTTCATTACTGAGGTTTTTACTTGGATGCCTTATCCTCAACACTCTCTCTGGTGGTGTGTACTCGCACTTTTCAGCTGGTATATTTGACTTGACTTTTGCAATTATTTTCATAACATCATCATCATCAGCTTTATAATCTTTATCATCCAAAGAGTGCGTTTCAGAACTTACTGCTGTTAAGTTTCTTATTTCGTCAACAATTCTTTTTTCACCATCTTGTAACTTACTGTAATCAAATTCAAGCTTAATATTATCATTTTTACTTAGCGAATTAAGAACTATTTCCGCTGTAACCATCCCTATGGCTCTTAATGTGTTTGTTGTACATTCAAGATGCAGAGGAATGCCCAAATACATCTCCTCTTTAATTCTGGTTTCATCTGACTTTAATGCATCAGTTAAAGCTAATGTTTTTATAATAATAATAATAAATTTTGTTATATAAATGTGTTGTTCCACACTTGTATGGTTGATTGCAGATTTATCCGACCACGTTGTAATCAAATTAATAAGAAGTTTATTTAAATCAGTTCCAGAAACATTTGCAAGATATGATATCAAATTGTACATCAAATTTAAGTCATTTTCAGTATAAAGAGAAAGCAAAGGAATTTTGGTACACAAAACGTATTTCCAATCTTTATTTTCTATTAATTTCGTACTAAAAATTTTATTTATGTTATGGCTAGTATAAGGGATGTTTTGTAAAGCAATCACTGCAAATTTTTCTATAGCCGATCGGTTCATTTTAGATAAGACTACCTCCATAATATTTGATTTAGGGAAAGTAGAAATTGCATTTATAAAATCGATAAGACTTGACGATTTGAGCGATTCATTTAAATGAATACATATTTTACTTAATAAAAATCCTATAAATGATAAATCTATATTTTTTTGTATGTCTAATTTGTTAAGATTTATCTTTGTGAAAAAAGCTATTGCCTTCAAAACATTATAAATTAAATTGTAACTATAGTTGTTAATAATCAAAATGTCTGGAAATTTTCCTTCGGTAACATTAGCTACTCTGCTAGGAAGAGATATTAGTATTTGAACAGAATTCTCCCATTTTGTACGTCTGTCTTCATTTATGATTTTGTTATTTTCTTGAATGAAACAATTGTTTACAACAGATGCAAATAGCGCTTCACTCTTGAGTAATTTCTCCAATAAATCTAAAATTGTAGTAGTAACTTGGTCAGATGTTGCCTTTAATTTTCTTGCCAAAATAGTTAAGCTTTCTTGAAAAAAATACTGATTTTCTACAATGAAGATTCTTTCGACAATTGTATACATTTTGCCTTCATGATAAGGAAAATTATCATCAAACTTTTCAGTTAAAGCTTCTAATATACGCCCATAAGCTTTGTCTACGTAAAGTTCCCAGTCAATAGAAGATTCGTCTATCTTCATGATTTTTTGGACCGTCAAGGGGCCAGGTAAAAATTCAGTTAAATGGTACAAATGTATTAAAATTTCATCAATATCCCTCTGCGAACTTATTTTATCAATTGCTTTCAGACAATCTAAAGCGTTTTGCGTTGCTGAGTCCAAGGTGATAGTTTCAGTAACAGGTGGGTTGCCAATATTTTCTACACTTGCGTTTTCACTCACTCCTATATGCGATTTTTCTGAAACGGGAAATCTCCAATGAGCTTCCCGTTTTTTTAAGCAACACCAGGCAAGTGCTTGTTTATAAAACAGGAAACTTTAATTTTTATTAACCGGAATTATACTTTTCTTTATTTTAATAAACACAAGATAAAGACGTATAGTACAGTTTACGGAAAAAAATTAACCGTAGAAATCAATATTGCATAGCGAATTTTAAAAACCATTTCTACCGCCTGTTAACCTTTTAATATAATCAAGCATAAAATTTTATTACAAATAAATTAGAAAACATTAAAGTGGAAAACACCACTGAAGTTCAATTTGAAAAGATCATTTTCTGTTGGGAACGATGTTTAAAGAGAGAACAGAAGAAAGTAGTATATGATATACTACGAGAAGAAAATGGGCTACTACAGACCACCAGTGGTGGATATAAGACTTGAGTCCCGGGACCCATCCGATATTTTACATTATAGTACAGTATTACTATAATAATAGTTGCCATAAAAGAACTCATTAACAATCATAAGAAAATACTGCGGATGAAGATGATGGTTATTAATCATTCTATGATTTTGTTGAATTTGCTGTCAAAAAATCAAATACTTTAGAAATTTTGTTTAGTAAATTATCTATTTCTAATAGACCCTCTTGCCATATTTTATCAAATTTAGTATCACTATGTTTTTTTTCCGATAAGAACTCATGTCAATAATTTTAGAACCGTATTTACTTTAAAAAGTAATTTTTTTATAAAAAAAAAACAAATTAATTTTTTAAGAAAAAAAAAGACGTTCACACATTACGAGCATTCAAAACAATGAAGCTATCGTTTATTTCTATTCATTAAGTTAAATTAAATTATCACAATGAATA